CAGTCGCAATTTGAGGGTTTGATTCCTGGAATGTGGAATTGGACTCTTTGTGGGTACCAGTGTACAGGCAAGCTCTCGTTCCCTGGTCTGCTGGGGGTACATCCTGTGATTTACCTCCCTCACGATACTCCAAGGGCAAGGCGGTGGAGGCCCTTAAAGTTGGGGTTCAACCTTAATATTTACACGATGAAATCAGAGGAAACAAATCTTTTAAGTAAGGGATAATTGCAGTAGAGGCCCCAAATCTTTTCAAACACTAGCAGACTTTTCCCAAACATTTGATTTGTTTCAACTGTCACCCCTAACCCTTTTCAAACATTGCAGGTGAAACCTCAAAGGATGGAAAACATCAATTTTACAGTTAGTTGATCAAAAAATTAAGTTTGACCACATTTTTAATATTTTTATGAAGGGCAAAATTATAACTTTCTATATACCAAATTAAATTAATTAATTAAATTAAAAAAGAAAAAAAAAAGGAAAAAGGGGGAAAACCAAAAGAACCATCGCAACCAAAACTCTATTGCCGCCTCCATTCCAGTCACTTGCAGTTTTTTTCCATTGACTTACCATCTAGACTGGGATTTCCTTTACCCTTTGTGCAACAAAGATGAGCAATTCTTATCTTTAATTGTTGAGCAAGGCAGATTCCTCTGACTGATTGGAACAGAGAAAACAGCTATTACCAGTAATGGAGACAGTCGAGGCCGAGTGAGCCATATTGATAATTAGCTAGTCCTGGGTACGCTTCAACGCAGTCAAGTAGGCGGTATCCTCATTCCGGTCCTTCCACACTAATCTCTAGCTGGCCAGCAAGTCATCAGGAGTCACCGCTCGGATCTCGTTCGGCGTAGCAACCCGGCTAATGTGCAACGCTAATGTCTCCTAACACCATCAATTGCAGCAAGATCCAGTGAATTAGAGTTTCGAGGCTGATCACAGATTAGGGGAGATTCAGCATCGTGTTGCTGACGATGACGTCGTCGTCAGTGGAAGCCTGAGATTAAGCTATTCATGGTGGGGTGGTAGTGGACCCATTTTGCTAAACACATCCTCTTCAATTTTATTCGGATTCATGGCAAAATCCAGTAAGCAAAAACAGCCAAAAAACTTTGGCTCAATTAGGGATGGGAGGAAGAAAATACAGTTTCCCTCCCTTTTTTCATTTTTTAAATTTAATTATTTAATTTAATAAATAGAAAGTTACTATTTTGCCCTTTCTAAAAATATTTAAAATGTGGTCAAACTCTATTTTTTGGTCAATTAACGGTAAAATGGATGTTTTCCATCCATTGGGTGTTACACCTACAACGTTTGAAAAGATTATGGGTGACGATTGCAACAAATCAAAAGTTTGAAAAAAGTTTGCTAGTGTTTGAAAGGTTTGAAACCTCTACTGCAACTATCCTTTTAAGAAATGAAATTTACAAACGTAGGCATAGATAATTTCAATGTAGGTGATTATGTGATGGTTTTCAAAATATTTTCCTAAACATGTTATTAAAAAACTTACAGTCGCCCCCCTGTGGTCCCTTTCAAATCATTAAAAAATTCTAGAAATAAATGCTTATCTGATAAGAGTGGGTCGAGTCGAGCCGGCTCGGCTCGTTAACCCACGAGCTCGGGCTTGTGGCGAGCCGAGCTCGTGGCTCGTTTTTCACAAGCCGAGATCGGGCTCGGCTCGTTGCTCCTGAGTGAGCTCAGTTCGGCCCACGAGCTCGTGTACTCACGAGCTCATGAGCCAAGCCGAGCAGAACCCACGAGCGGCTCGTAATCTCGTGAATTTATTTATTTTTTTCGTAAAGTTTTCAAATTTGATTGATAAAATTTTATTTTTTTCCACATTTTTGGACGAGACCCCCCGCTCGGCTCGAGCTCGGGCTCGTCGCCCACGAGCCAAGCTTTGACGAGCGGAGCCGGCTCGGCCCAATTGACATCCTTATCTACAAGACTTGCCATTGCATTTAAATACTCGTCCTATTTTTAACGTAGGAGACACATACTCTTATCAAGGTACATTCGACCTCCAACGATTGCCTCAACCAACCAGTCTTCCAATGACACAAAGTTCCCATTATGACACCAACGTTCAGTCGTCCTTGAGGTTCGCGATGACCAGAGCGGAGCCGGCTCGGCCCAATTGACATCCTTATCTACAAGACTTGCCATTGCATTTAAATACTCGTCCTATTTTTAACGTAGCAGACACATACTCTTATCAAGGTACATTCGGCCTCCAACGATTGCCTCAACCAACCAGTCTTCCAATGACACAAAGTTCCCAATATGACACCAACGTTCAGTCGTCCTTGAGGTTCGCGATGACCAGTATGTTGCTTCTAAGGATGGTGGCTACCATGTATGTTGCTTCTAAAGATGGTGGCTACCATAGTTTTTTGGTTAGGCGAATAGATCGTCTGTCGTCAGGTATCAATCTAGACTTGCTATTGCAAGAAAAGATAACATTTTTCTATCATAGAATGCTAATGCAAACACAGTGTACAGTTTCAGGAAGCCTTCTTGCAGCGTTGCACTTCTCCATTAAACTATGGCGATCAATGGAAAATTCTCTGTCCAAACAAACAAAAACCACTCCCACTTGGCAGAAAAATAAATTTTGTTAGTAAGAATGGCAAACATTATTCTGTAATATATTTTTCCGGACCATAATGAAATGTGGGTTTCATTGTGCAAAGGTTAATGTGCGAGTCCGGCGAGAATAACAAAAATTAATCAATTGAGAAGCACAAAAGCAAGGATGATGGAAGAAACGGAGTAACTCAGGGAAAAAAGAAAATTTCTATATGATTTTACACTCTAATGTCTCGGCTGCCAATGCATTCAAACTCACTATACCATCTGAGCATCATTTCGAGTTTTGGCCAAAGGCCTCAAAAGCAGGATTCCGACCAGGATGAGCACGCATAGAATCCGGAATTCTGATCACTCCCTCTGCATCATTTAAAGGGAAAATCACTCTTACATAGAGAATGAATGCGCAAAATAGAAGTAAAATTAGGCTTTACATTTTCCCCTTGAATCCCTTCTAAGACTGTAGAAGAAAAATTTGGGACAACGCGAGGTGAGAAGAAAATGAGGATGAACTGAAAGAATGAAGAAAATAATACCCTCGGGCGTTTCGGACTTGGTTGAGATTCAGGACCACGTTGCTGACTAGAAGAAGCCCCTTGATATTGGTCTTCATCAGCCTGCACATGCAAAAAATTGCTTAGCCACAGCATTATTCACCTCTAGCTCCAAACTGCAAGCATCTTAATTTGAACCATCAATGAAACTGGACTGCAACGGATAGTACTTTCCATTGCAGAAATTTGCAATTGAATATCTGAGCCAAACCCAAAATTGATCTTTTAAAATGGAGTTACATCCCTGAGTATCTTTACCTGGGGTTCAGATGAGTTTGCACCTCCAATAGAGGCTTCAGCTCTATTTTCTTGAATAATGGGCATTATCTGATGTAGTATATTAGACAAAAATATCCCTTCACGACTAGCTGTTTCTGCTGCCTCCTGAGAAGCGCTGGAATCTTGGGTTGCTCCAGCTGGAGGTGGGCCAACACTGTCACCAAAAATATGCTCACCTGGAAATATTGTCCTCAGCAGTTCTCCAAGTCCACTTTGAATCTGCGCTGCGAATCCTTGCCTGTGGGATGCTTCACTAGTTGTACCGCTGCCTAAAGATAATAATTGTGGTTAGTTAATAAGAATGATAGGATGGTAATCGTGAATGGGGTCAAAAGTGTCCAATCATATGTACGCTCACCATTTCTTCCAGGGACTCCAATATTTTGCTGCTGTGTTGCAGAACCGGACATTGTCTGTTGTTCAGTGTCAGCATCCTGACCACGATGTTGCTCTGATTCCTGAGAAGCTCTTATGCCATTCGAATTTCCAGAAGTTACATTTTGAACTCTAGCTAAAACAGGGTATACCATTCCGACTGAACCATGAGGTGAATCAGAACCATGTTCACCAGAAGCAGGAACAGCAGCAATCATGGTCCTGAGAGGAATTGTCCGCACTTCAGAATCCTGAGTAGAGGTATTTGGGTTTAGTCCTACGGCAGCCTCTTGACCAGAATTCCCACTGGTGGAAGATATAGTAACACCAGGTCCTTGAGGCTGTAAACCAGCTGCCTCTCTCCGGGACAGCAATGAACCTGACAGCAAAAGTAGCGTGAAAAGAAAAACAGATAGAAGTCAGAGTTCAGTATTTAGATATGCAAACATCACATTTGCATTTGATCATTAATGAGGAAGGTAACAAAAGTATGCTTGATTGATAAAAAAACAAATTCTTAACTTTCTAAAATGTGATGCAAGCATAAGACACGCTTTCGAACGCAAACAAGCTGCGGGAAATTAACCTTTGGAAGAGGATGATTTGCTTGGATCATTGTAGTTTTCAAACTCAATTTGGTTTCCATGACACCATATTGAGTTTGAGTATGGATGTTGGAGATATGAAAAGATTGCGATATTATTCCTTTTTTTATATTTTCCCAATATTGGGATTATTTTCCTTTTGTAGTTGATTTTGAGATTATTACACAATCTTTTCTTTTAGAGTAATGCTAATTAGCACCACTGATATTTAACATCAGTTTAGGTGATAGCACTAGTAGCATTAAATTACAAGTACAAAAATTATGGCTCATTTAATAGGACCTATGATATGCTAACATTTAAACTGGTGCTTAACACCATTAGTGCTTGATAGCATTATTACTATTTGTAACCCCATAAATAAGTTCTTCTATCTTATAATAATTAAGAAATCATACACCGTTTATTATTATTTTCACCACAATCCTGGCCTTGTGGAAGGTCAAGAAGTAAAATTCCTTTGGCTAACATTTGGTACAGCACCTGTTCGTACTCTGATGTCGATATTCCTTGGAAGAAAACCGGAACCAATAGATCCTCCCGATAATCCTGAGCCATTCTGCACAGTTCCAAATGAATTTGCCCCAAAATTTGCTCCTGGTTGAAACGGCAGTGGCTGCGCATGGTTTGTAAGGAAGAGAATGAGCATATGACCTGAAGGTGGCACAAACAAAAGGAGAAACATTCTGTCAAATAAAAAACCACCTGAACCATTATAGGATTCGGACCAGTTGATGATATAAAAACGGATGGTCCAGCATTCACCAATGCACCAGCCTGAGGAAGGAGGGACACTCATTCAGTCAATCTGATGACAATATTATGCACAGTTTTTTGTTAACATTCTATCCTACACAGCAAATGAATGGAATTGGACTCTTTGTGGGTACCAGTGTACAGGCAAGCTCTCGTTCCCTGGTCTGCTGGGGGTACATCCTGTGATTTACCTCCCTCACGATACTCCAAGGGCAAGGCGGTGGAGGCCCTTAAAGTTGGGGTTCAACCTTAATATTTACACGATGAAATCAGAGGAAACAAATCTTTTAAGTAAGGGATAATTGCAGTAGAGGCCCCAAATCTTTTCAAACACTAGCAGACTTTTCCCAAACATTTGATTTGTTTCAACTGTCACCCCTAACCCTTTTCAAACATTGCAGGTGAAACCTCAAAGGATGGAAAACATCAATTTTACAGTTAGTTGATCAAAAAATTAAGTTTGACCACATTTTTAATATTTTTATGAAGGGCAAAATTATAACTTTCTATATACCAAATTAAATAATTAAATTAAATAATTAAATTAAAAAAGAAAAAAAAAAGGAAAAAGGGGGAAAACCAAAAGAACCATCGCAACCAAAACTCTATTGCCGCCTCCATTCCAGTCACTTGCAGTTTTTTTCCATTGACTTACCATCTAGACTGGGATTTCCTTTACCCTTTGTGCAACAAAGATGAGCAATTCTTATCTTTAATTGTTGAGCAAGGCAGATTCCTCTGACTGATTGGAACAGAGAAAACAGCTATTACCAGTAATGGAGACAGTCGAGGCCGAGTGAGCCATATTGATAATTAGCTAGTCCTGGGTACGCTTCAACGCAGTCAAGTAGGCGGTATCCTCATTCCGGTCCTTCCACACTAATCTCTAGCTGGCCAGCAAGTCATCAGGAGTCACCGCTCGGATCTCGTTCGGCGTAGCAACCCGGCTAATGTGCAACGCTAATGTCTCCTAACACCATCAATTGCAGCAAGATCCAGTGAATTAGAGTTTCGAGGCTGATCACAGATTAGGGGAGATTCAGCATCGTGTTGCTGACGATGACGTCGTCGTCAGTGGAAGCCTGAGATTAAGCTATTCATGGTGGGGTGGTAGTGGACCCATTTTGCTAAACACATCCTCTTCAATTTTATTCGGATTCATGGCAAAATCCAGTAAGCAAAAACAGCCAAAAAACTTTGGCTCAATTAGGGATGGGAGGAAGAAAATACAGTTTCCCTCCCTTTTTTCATTTTTTAAATTTAATTATTTAATTTAATAAATAGAAAGTTACTATTTTGTCCTTTCTAAAAATATTTAAAATGTGGTCAAACTCTATTTTTTGGTCAATTAACGGTAAAATGGATGTTTTCCATCCATTGGGTGTTACACCTGTAACGTTTGAAAAGATTATGGGTGACGATTGCAACAAATCAAAAGTTTGAAAAAAGTTTGCTAGTGTTTGAAAGGTTTGAAACCTCTACTGCAACTATCCTTTTAAGAAATGAAATTTACAAACGTAGGCATAGATAATTTCAGTGTAGGTGATTATGTGATGGTTTTCAAAATATTTTCCTAAACATGTTATTAAAAAACTTACGGTCACCCCCCTGTGGTCCCTTTCAAATCATTAAAAAATTCTAGAAATAAATGCTTATCTGCAAGTAGGGATAATAGTGGGTCGAGTCGAGCCGGCTCAGCTCGTTAACCCACGAGCTCGGCTCGGGCTTGTGGCGAGCCGAGCTCGTGGCTCGTTTTTCACAAGCCGAGATCGGGCTCGGCTCGTTGCTCCTGAGTGAGCTCGTTTCGGCCCACGAGCTCGTGTACTCACGAGCTCATGAGCCAAGCCGATCAGAGCCCACGAGCGGCTCGTAATCTCGTGAATTTATTTATTTTTTTCGTAAAGTTTTCAAATTTGATTGATAAAATTTTATTTTTTTCCACATTTTTGGACGAGACCCCCCGCTCGGCTCGAGCTCGGGCTCGTCGCCCACGAGCCAAGCTTTGACGAGCGGAGCCGGCTCGGCCCAATTGACATCCTTATCTACAAGACTTGCCATTGCATTTAAATACTCGTCCTATTTTTAACGTAGCAGACACATACTCTTATCAAGGTACATTCGGCCTCCAACGATTGCCTCAACCAACCAGTCTTCCAATGACACAAAGTTCCCAATATGACACCAACGTTCAGTCGTCCTTGAGGTTCGCGATGACCAGTATGTTGCTTCTAAGGATGGTGGCTACCATGTATGTTGCTTCTAAAGATGGTGGCTACCATAGTTTTTTGGTTAGGCGAATAGATCGTCTGTCGTCAGGTATCAATCTAGACTTGCTATTGCAAGAAAAGATAACATTTTTCTATCATAGAATGCTAATGCAAACACAGTGTACAGTTTCAGGAAGCCTTCTTGCAGCGTTGCACTTCTCCATTAAACTATGGCGATCAATGGAAAATTCTCTGTCCAAACAAACAAAAACCACTCCCACTTGGCAGAAAAATAAATTTTGTTAGTAAGAATGGCAAACATTATTCTGTAATATATTTTTCCGGACCATAATGAAATGTGGGTTTCATTGTGCAAAGGTTAATGTGCGAGTCCGGCGAGAATAACAAAAATTAATCAATTGAGAAGCACAAAAGCAAGGATGATGGAAGAAACGGAGTAACTCAGGGAAAAAAGAAAATTTCTATATGATTTTACACTCTAATGTCTCGGCTGCCAATGCATTCAAACTCACTATACCATCTGAGCATCATTTCGAGTTTTGGCCAAAGGCCTCAAAAGCAGGATTCCGACCAGGATGAGCACGCATAGAATCCGGAATTCTGATCACTCCCTCTGCATCATTTAAAGGGAAAATCACTCTTACATAGAGAATGAATGCGCAAAATAGAAGTAAAATTAGGCTTTACATTTTCCCCTTGAATCCCTTCTAAGACTGTAGAAGAAAAATTTGGGACAACGCGAGGTGAGAAGAAAATGAGGATGAACTGAAAGAATGAAGAAAATAATACCCTCGGGCGTTTCGGACTTGGTTGAGATTCAGGACCACGTTGCTGACTAGAAGAAGCCCCTTGATATTGGTCTTCATCAGCCTGCACATGCAAAAAATTGCTTAGCCACAGCATTATTCACCTCTAGCTCCAAACTGCAAGCATCTTAATTTGAACCATCAATGAAACTGGACTGCAACGGATAGTACTTTCCATTGCAGAAATTTGCAATTGAATATCTGAGCCAAACCCAAAATTGATCTTTTAAAATGGAGTTACATCCCTGAGTATCTTTACCTGGGGTTCAGATGAGTTTGCACCTCCAATAGAGGCTTCAGCTCTATTTTCTTGAATAATGGGCATTATCTGATGTAGTATATTAGACAAAAATATCCCTTCACGACTAGCTGTTTCTGCTGCCTCCTGAGAAGCGCTGGAATCTTGGGTTGCTCCAGCTGGAGGTGGGCCAACACTGTCACCAAAAATATGCTCACCTGGAAATATTGTCCTCAGCAGTTCTCCAAGTCCACTTTGAATCTGCGCTGCGAATCCTTGCCTGTGGGATGCTTCACTAGTTGTACCGCTGCCTAAAGATAATAATTGTGGTTAGTTAATAAGAATGATAGGATGGTAATCGTGAATGGGGTCAAAAGTGTCCAATCATATGTACGCTCACCATTTCTTCCAGGGACTCCAATATTTTGCTGCTGTGTTGCAGAACCGGACATTGTCTGTTGTTCAGTGTCAGCATCCTGACCACGATGTTGCTCTGATTCCTGAGAAGCTCTTATGCCATTCGAATTTCCAGAAGTTACATTTTGAACTCTAGCTAAAACAGGGTATACCATTCCGACTGAACCATGAGGTGAATCAGAACCATGTTCACCAGAAGCAGGAACAGCAGCAATCATGGTCCTGAGAGGAATTGTCCGCACTTCAGAATCCTGAGTAGAGGTATTTGGGTTTAGTCCTACGGCAGCCTCTTGACCAGAATTCCCACTGGTGGAAGATATAGTAACACCAGGTCCTTGAGGCTGTAAACCAGCTGCCTCTCTCCGGGACAGCAATGAACCTGACAGCAAAAGTAGCGTGAAAAGAAAAACAGATAGAAGTCAGAGTTCAGTATTTAGATATGCAAACATCACATTTGCATTTGATCATTAATGAGGAAGGTAACAAAAGTATGCTTGATTGATAAAAAAACAAATTCTTAACTTTCTAAAATGTGATGCAAGCATAAGACACGCTTTCGAACGCAAACAAGCTGCGGGAAATTAACCTTTGGAAGAGGATGATTTGCTTGGATCATTGTAGTTTTCAAACTCAATTTGGTTTCCATGACACCATATTGAGTTTGAGTATGGATGTTGGAGATATGAAAAGATTGCGATATTATTCCTTTTTATATTTTCCCAATATTGGGATTATTTTCCTTTTGTAGTTGATTTTGAGATTATTACACAATCTTTTCTTTTAGAGTAATGTTAATTAGCACCACTGATATTTAACATCAGTTTAGGTGATAGCACTAGTAGCATTAAATTACAAGTACAAAAATTATGGCTCATTTAATAGGACCTATGATATGCTAACATTTAAACTGGTGCTTAACACCATTAGTGCTTGATAGCATTATTACTATTTGTAACCCCATAAATAAGTTCTTCTATCTTATAATAATTAAGAAATCATACACCGTTTATTATTATTTTCACCACAATCCTGGCCTTGTGGAAGGTCAAGAAGTAAAATTCCTTTGGCTAACATTTGGTACAGCACCTGTTCGTACTCTGATGTCGATATTCCTTGGAAGAAAACCGGAACCAATAGATCCTCCCGATAATCCTGAGCCATTCTGCACAGTTCCAAATGAATTTGCCCCAAAATTTGCTCCTGGTTGAAACGGCAGTGGCTGCGCATGGTTTGTAAGGAAGAGAATGAGCATATGACCTGAAGGTGGCACAAACAAAAGGAGAAACATTCTGTCAAATAAAAAACCACCTGAACCATTATAGGATTCGGACCAGTTGATGATATAAAAACGGATGGTCCAGCATTCACCAATGCATCAGCCTGAGGAAGGAGGGACACTCATTCAGTCAATCTGATGACAATATTATGCACAGTTTTTTGTTAACATTCTATCCTACACAGCAAATGAATTGTACAGTACTGGTGAAAGTTCCACAGAGAACAAAAAGGAAAAACACACCGGAGTTTGACCCATTCGGAGAGTCATGATTGTCCGTCCAAGTTCAAGAAGCAAAGAACTTAAATTTTGATAAAGAACTCCTGCTCTTATAGCATTAGTCTGAATTCTTGACCGCTCCAATGGATCAGTCACACTCACATGACCCCGCAGTTGTCCTGCAAGTTGCTGCAGGGGGAAAAAACAGAATTACAGTACCAACAACCTTATCTTTAGATAAATTCAATGATCAATTTAAGTTCGTGATCATGGAAATTTGGGCCTCCAACCTCAATAACAATGTTATAAAGACAAATGGTGTCGTCTACCTCAATGTTAGGAGAAACTAGACATTTTGTAGTCCAAAAAGCACTTGATAGCAAGCTTACACTTATTTATATCTCAAAAAAGGTAGAAAATCTGTGGTGATTTTACATGAAAGATTAATTTAGAAATAGACATATATACCTACTGATGAGGACATCCAGTTTTAATTATTTTAGCAGTTTTAATTATTTTAGTTGGATTTAGGTTATTTTAATTTTATGGACTTGTGTGTTGGGCTTGGCCCCAGGTTTGCAGTATTTTCCAGTATTTAAACCTATTTTACATTGTTATTTTTCAGTTGATGAATTTGATTAAACAATAAAGTTGGCTTGCAGCCGTTTTCCTCTCTTCCCCCGCCTCTGTGTTCTTCTTCTCCCCTCTTCCCCCCATCTCTTCTTGTTATTATTCACCCTACATCACATACACACACACACAATAGATAAAAAATAATAATAATAATAATAATATATAGGAGTAATATCTCCACCTATCAATCTAAAAACAAAAGGGAAAGCTGCGCATGCTTCTGAGATGACCAGAGTAAGTATTAGAAGCATGTCTTATTCAGCATAGTAGATAAAGAAAATTAATTTTTTCTTTCACTCTATGGTAATAGTCTGTCTTAGTTTCAGATTCAAATAAGAACGAAAAAACTTGAATCAGTTCAAAAAGATCTAAATTTCAAGTGGAAAATATATGATCTTTTGTAAGCTGTGTGAATCAATTTTCACAGTATATAACTCTTGTGCTGCTTGAATATTATATGTACATGAACCAAGCAACATACTTTAGTTATTTACTTATTCTAGAAGTAACAGTTACATAATTCAAGCTCATACCAATAAGCACTCAGCTGCTTGTTCAACAAGTATTTGTCTTGCGGACAGAATCAGCTCTGCCAAGGATTCAGGGGTCGGAAGCCCTCTCTGTTCACTAGAACGTGAAGTAGCAAGCGAATCTTGCGCATCACTGCCACATGGACCAGCGGTTTGAAAACTTCCACTTTGGCCTCCAGCTGGGAAAACCCAATAATGTAAGGGGAAAATATTTATTTTTGTTGGGAGAATGAAAATTAAAATTAACTAAGAAAAGATTCCTGACCATGGGTACAAAATTCTTGCCTCAAGTGACTTAAGTACTGGGATAAAGTAGTCAATGAATCAGGAATAATCTGCAAGAAAACATAAAAATGAACCCTAAAGCATGGGGATAGAATAAAATGGAAAAGTACAAAGAAGTTAAGATAGTTGTCAAACACTCATGCAAAACTCACATTGTTGTTGTATATTATGTTCCTATTTGGTACATACTCTTTCAAACTCATTTTCACCCACACATTCTTCCAATAAAATAATTTCGCATGTGGACATATAACTTTTCACTACTCTTTAACCCTATATTCTCCAAAAAGAAAAAACAAAACAAAAACTATTTTCAAAAAATCTACATCAAACTGTCCCTAAAAAGTATTAATATACATGAAAAATAAAACATCTAAATGTTACCGGTGGCTGTAGAGATTCCTCAGGAATAGCATTTGAAGCAGCTTGATCCGAATGCAGTCCATTAGAGTTTCTAAGACCACTAAGGCTAGGTGCAGTTGAAATCCTTTCTGATGGAGGTTGCTGGGCAAAACACATAAAGAAATCAGTTGACTCGGGGGAGTATAGCAAGATTGCAAATTTTCCTCCGTTAAGAAATTTAAATGTCGAACGAACTAATGGACATATGCAGTGGAATAACTCCAACAAATTTCATCCGGCGTAAAAACCAAAACAGCAGCAGTGAGTGTAATACAAGAAGCACAATGCCTAACTTTCACAATCTTACATTATGATCAATCCCTTCACTACCACTTCCCATTCTTGCAACTCCAAAAGAATTAAGTACAGTTGAGACAATCTACAGGGTGAGCACAAATATGTAAGCGAAACTCAATTTGAGTAAAAATGAAAGCTCATATAATTGGCCAGGTGATAAAATTACCCGATTAAGATCCGGAAAACCTCCATCTCCCTGCTCAGATATATTGAAGGTACCAACTACAACACCAGGACCTACTCGATTGCCTAGATCATTCCCGGTACTTGATGTGGGATCAGTTGCTGCAAATACAAGGTCTTGATAATCAGATACAAGCTGCCACAACCTTGAAACACGAAATAAGACAGAACTAATGAAGGAACTAAAAGAAGAATTAACAGTCATTACACCCGAAGTGCACGTTTAGTATGCAAAAACAGATAGCAAATGAAAAAGAATTTGTGTCAGACTATGATATACATCTCTGGCATGTTAACTAATTACACATCATGATGCAAGAAATCTAAGATGCCACCTAATCAAAACAAAATTATTTAATCAGATAAAACGAAAGCCTAATTCTTTCCTGCAACCTCAGGTCCTTAGCAATATAGATCCAAGGCCAAACAACATATGCCATGCATCTTCTCAAAATAGAGAACAGAAAAAACATCAGGTAATTAGTTGCTGTTAAGCAATTTAAATGATACGTATCAAAACCATCATGCGTCCAAATAAGGCACAGTAGAACTAAGTATCACTGAATAAAGATGCAGTTTTCCATATCATGGTTGAAAGAAAAAAAGAAGTAAAGTTAATAAAAGGAAAAACAACTTAGCCTCTGTTTAAAAAAATTTATAAATCATTTATAAATTGTGAAACTCCAAGTGCAACCAAACATTTCAATTGAGATCCACAAGTAATATCTACTCATTTACCACTCATTTCTGCCAAGAATTAAGCAAGAGTACACTAAAACTAAAATACCACATTATGCATTACAAAAACAATCTGACCACTTTAAATCCATACAATATACACCTCCTGTTTCAAGAGATGGGAAAAGAACAAAGGAAAAAGTCAACAGAAAGAGGGACCACTGACAAATACTGTAGTAAATTTATCGAACACTATGGTATAGACAATTGGATACTGAAGAAACTAAAATCATATAACTCCAATCTCAATTGCCATGCAACAAATACCAAGGTAAAATAACTTCTTAAACTCTAAATATAAATGTTCACACAAAATCTATCCATATATTTTATGCAAATGAGAACTTTTTTACTCAAGAACAAATGCTTGTCCACCACATTAACACCGTCATAATTGAACAGATAATAAATTCTATGTTATCTGACATCTGAAATATCTGACATGTTTTAGAAAGAGAACCATGCAAATTATATTTCTTTCCAAGATATCCTCGTATCAATGTCTTCCGCACTTCATCTTTCATCAAATGTTAGGAGAAAAAATCCGAAGGAAATGTTTCTTTTGCTATGTCTTTCATCACCCTTTCTCAACTTGGTTCACAATTAATCAAATATATTTTTTTTCTATGGATCAGTACATGTTAGATGAATCTCAGAAATTTGAAAACTCGGCAAAGCTTCATGTTTGCACAACTATGACATTTTCAAGAAATCTATAAACAATATTTCATGCAACTATTATTGCATGGAGAAAAGCATGGTGATAAAAGTAAAAGATGGAGCAGTAGGAAGCCAAGAACATAAAAAGAAAATGGAAGTGCTAACACGTATCAAATCTAACAGAAGCAAATGAATTTTGTAAATAAATATAAAGTACTGAACTCCATGAAGCATGTGCGAATTCTGTTCACTCTAGAGATTTAAGGTAACTTATATAAGCACTAAATTTTAATATGTACTCTAAAATACCACAATGACAAGTTGGTCATCATAAACTTGATCCTTTAAGCTACATGAAGCATCTTCGAATTAAAAATAAGAATATAGAGACAAGAAGATTTAAAATTTGAATAACACATTTGTATAATTTTTTTTAGAGGATCACAGTTTTAGATTTATAGTGCTGCACTGTCTTGTTATCAAACTCTACAAATTCAAGTTGGTCAACAATGTCAGAATATGATTTAATTCTTAACCTGAACTCCTTTACCATCTATCAAATAATTTAACATATAAGATATGAAGTTTATGTAAGCGCAAAGGACATGAAACCTGCATGATCAAAGCTGTCTGGTGATGGGATGACCGGCTGTCTCACAACCAGGTGCAATGTGTGACCATCTTCCACATCTATGAATAAATCTATTAAGGAACTGAAGCATCAAAATCAATATAAACAATTCCAACTTCCTAACATTTATCATCCTCCTCTGAAACTGACAATGACAGCTTACTTCAAAGCATTGAATATGATATTTAGTCAAAACTTACAAGGGAACTAAATAACCTAAGCAAAATGTCATTCTATTCCCTGGAGAAGGCATAAAGAAGCAAGGATACGGTAAGCCGAGAGGAGCTGATCGTCCTTCAAAACTTTTCCACGGCATATAAGGCGTTGTTGTGCTGTCAAGACACCAGTCACAGAAGCAATCTGCTCCTTCAGCTGAGGAACTGGCACCTGTAGTTGATGTGAATTTTAAGAAATACGGGTGTGAAAGTGAAAACTAAGAAACAAAACCAGTTCCACATTATACAAATCTAGTAGATTTTGACAAATTTCAAACCATAGCAAACATGGTTTAAGTTTTAAGGTCATTGCTGCTACAAGTGCGTTTCACTATTAACTCACATATAGTGTTAATGTAGCTCAAAAAAAAAAAGAAAAAAAAAAGGACTTTTACGTAGAAAACAAATTTGAAACATCGAAAAGTGAAAACATATTAAGACAGAAAAATAATTGAAGCTAGTATATTTTGTAGAACGCCAAGTTCTAGAATGATAAGCAAAGAAAATATAAATAATTATTACACATTTATCCACTCGCAGTGTGTAAGTTTGAGAATCCAGCGTCTTGATCTTTATCTCAACGGTGGTTTCAGAACATCCAGCCGTATCATTCCCTGAAACTTTCATGTCCTCAGCACAATTACTTCCCATCTTCAAGATTTCGCTCAATACCTGAAACTAATAATGGCAAGTGAAATTCTTAAAAGAGTGAGAGCATAGAACAGCATTGAAAAGGTAAGTGCAAGATCTATTTACCAGGTTCACCAATGTAAATAAAGGAAGGTAGAAAGAGGAAGAAGAAATGACTCAATATACTGTAAGAGTTTCTTATGGCTATTTTCACTTATAACTAAGGTTTAAAAAATGTCCCTTACTCCCTAGGTTATAGAAATAGGCAGATTCCTCCGATTTTCCTTAAAAAATTAGTTACCCAATCAAGGACTAAGAAAAATTACTATTTTAGCCTTCTCACTATTTTGAGATTCTAAATGAGGATATATATCTTTCCATGATTGATATGAAAAGATAAATTTATTAAAAAGACCTAGATGGAAAAATAAGTACAACTATGGCATATCATGATAGTAACAGTATTGGGAGAGTAGGGACTATAAATAAATCCACTTGGTTTAGGTCTTGAATCTCTTGATAACTTTTCTTAGATCTCCCCCTTCCCGGAACCCAAGTATCATATACCCCCTAATAACAAACCTTGAATAAAAAAAGATGGAAGAAATTAGTTTAAATTAATAGATAACAGGACAAAATAGAGCGAGGGAGAAAGAAAACATGGTATCTGGAGCAAAATCATCTTTGCACAATTCTGCTATAAAATAAAGCAATGAGTATCATCTTTTTAAGGTTAAAAGATAAATGACATCGACAATTGTTGGATATCATCATGAGATTTACCATTTATGTATTGCAGATCTGTCGAGATAAAAACTTTAAATCTAATTTACCATTCTAAGCAAGTTGAGCCTACTTCACGCTAAATCTTGCCACATCTCCACTCAAATTTCGTAATGGTTCAGTATTGTGGCTCAAACTCATCTAGTCGGATCTAAGATAAGCAGGCTAAGAGCACATGGACATTGAACTGGTTCAAGTCAACTGACAACTATACCTCCCACCATCACATCTAAATGCCTTCTTTCCTCTACCTTAACCCATTTAACAACCAGTGATAGCACCATAAATTGCCAAATCCCGTAGTTACCATATTTTTTAACAGGGATCATCATTAACCAATCTAGTAAAGGCAATGATGAATCTGCTTCTACAAGAGAAAATATACGAAGGCTGCCCAACAACTTATAGCCATGGCCTATGATGCTCGGGCTCGGACATGGATATCGGGTATGAGTACGGGTACGTATCTAAGCATCGGATCTTTTATTTTCTAAAATGTAAGATACGAGAATATGGCTAAAAAGAGTATAAATTTCTGGCACGCGTACGTGAACATGTCATTCAAATTTCAATTTTTTTACCAACTCAAGATGCCATTTTGAATAGACCAAAATCACTCATTCATAAAGAAGAAAATAATATTGAAAAAGGGGTTAAGACGAATAAAATAGAATTTTGAGCTTTAGTTTTCAATTATAGGAAGTTAATTACTAAATATTATATAAAATAGAAAATAAGGGACTTAATTGCAATTTGAATTTAATGAAGCACTAAGTAGCACTATATGGAACCAATTTTCATTTTATACAAACAAAATCCTAAACCATCAATATGGAGAGAGGGGAAAAAAGAAAAGGGAAAAAACAAACAAAGATGGGAAAATCTAGTGTCGTGATCTTTCTCCACCCTCTCGAAAGCGGCGCTAGGTTTATAGAGAGTAGAAACGGAAAGAAAAGTAAAAGAAAAAAGAAAGAAGCAAAAAAGGGGCGAAATGTCCTATTGAAACTTTGAAGATCCGACACATATCCAATACACATATTCATACCCGTCGTGTGCAATACGAGTACTCCGACCATTTCGAAGAGTCCGAGCATAAAAGGCCATGGCAATGCATGTTGCTTCCTTTCCACCTTAGGTTAAAATCGGTCGATTGATTCCAATATAATAACACACAAAAAATGTAATAAAAATTTAGAAAAAAATTCTTGTCAAATTCTTATTTGTGGAAGAATTGAAGATGGTGATAAACCCGACACAGATCATCGTATACATGAGCAGGGTGGTATTAATGGTTGCCAAAAATGAAAAGTATCGTCCTGAAATTGGTGATTGCAATGTGAATTCAAATTACAGGTGTAGCTAGTAACAGGGATGAAATCAATGAAAAGAAGACGTGGATGTTAAGGTAAGGTGGAGGGAGAATTAGAGAGGAGGATCAAGAATAAACCATGAAGCCTGAACCACTGGTGAAAGGTAATACCGTCGTTTTGTTCTTTTTTGCTTTCATTTTAATTCCTTTTTGTCTCTATTTATTTTTACCATAGGGACCACCAAAGAAATTGGTATTTACCCTTCAGCTACTGGTAACTTTTAGCCACATCACATGCACTCGCACACATTATCTGCGTGTTGCTATGTAAAAATATAAGTGACGGGACTATTATTATTGCTAGCTTGGATCTCACCATCTCAACTCATATCTCACCTCACTAACGCATGTTCTTAGGTCCAAGATCCAGCTATGCACCCAAGCGATAAGTGCTCATAGCAATCCAAGAGATGCACCCCAAGTACATTTGGAGTTCCGTCATTGGCCAACATCATGAATCACAAGTTCCTTAATCAATGTCCTATTCTCACTACCAAGCACTACTAAATAGCAACTCAGACCACCCCTCTACAACAACAAATAGAAATCAGGAAAAAAAATTAATATAAAAGGCTTAAGAACTTATTTTCTCAAATACAATATGTCAAACCCTTAACTCAACCTTCAAAAGCCACCATTAGGATGTGTGAACTGATCCAACACATAAAGATAAACTCTAAGAACTGAATGAGTAACCTGGACGTTAATCATGGTAAACCCAGACTCCCTTATTTAATCAATTCATCATTTTCAGCTATTGTCAACTTTCATAACGCAGAAAAGAATAGAAAGGGAACAAATACCCTGACGAATCTACAAAACGACAATCTCAAGTTTCTAAAAATCTCCATTTCTCGGGGTTCAAAACGACTAGACATTGCTGTCAAAACAAGTGAACCATTTCGCTAAATGGAAACAGAGCTGGGTTTGTAATACAAGCTCAACCCAAGAGTAACCTCGAACTAAACAAGACCCAGGAATCGAGATGAACATCAAACTCAATCTCACTCTGTTTCCGGAAAAACACAGAGAGGAAGGAAAAAAACCCATCGGCCCCATTTGATTAGGCATCCACATCTTGAATCCTAAAACCTTATCAAAATGGGTCTTGAACGCTGTTTATGCTTCATAATCCAAAAAACACATAAAAATTACTCGAAAATTGAACTATAGATAAATAAAAATCCAGTTTTTCTCAAAATCCGTGTTCTGGCACCTAAAAAAAAAAATAAAAATAAAAAAAATAAAAGCACCCCCACACACCGAGCGAATTTCGAAAAAGAAAACATAATCAGATAGAAATCTTAACCAAACCGATTAAAGAGACCTGGTAGGGCTTGATCGAGACAGCGATTTATCGAAGGAAACGCCCGGCGACGATGAGAGGGTCAGCAGGAGATGACACAGGTAAGAGGTTTTTGTGTCCTAAATTTTCTTTTTTCTTTCCTCTTTCATTTTTTTCTTTCTATTTTTTCTGTTACACACTTTTTTTCTCACTTTCTATTTTCTAAGCTGTCGGTTTAATTAAAAATTAGATTTTTAAATAGATTATAATAAAATGTGATGAAATATATTATTAAAAAATATAAGATTGTTAAATAGATTTTAATAAAAATAATGATGAAATATATTATTAAAAAATTTATTTAAAAAAAAGTATGATCATATGTATCCGGACCAGTTTACGTACATCTTAACTAATTTCAATGCACTAAAATTTAGGATCGGGTAGTCACTTCAATTGGAACTCAAACTAGTGATTACTGGGGAGCAAACCTAAAGTTTAATCACTGAACTACATTTTATGATTATTTTAAAATATATAATTAAAATTATTTTATGAAAAATAAGTTTTAAAATGTAAGTATTAAATAGGGGATAAATTGCACGAATTTTGTTTGGTTCCTATTTCTTAAAATTCATTTTTTTCAAAGTTAGTTTTAACTATACATTTTATAAATCCACAATTTTTATTAACTTGTCGGCTATACATTTTATTAATTTTTATAAACATTTACGGCAAAATTATTTTTAACTTGAATAAGTAAAATTTTATAAATTATTTTATACATATTCTATGTAGAAGTTTCTTTAGCTATTAGTCTTTTAGCCCTTCTTTGGTATAGATTAAAATATAGATTTTAATTTAAGTCAAAATCGATAATTAATTTTAACTATATATTTTGTGGATATTATAATTTTTTAACCCTACATTTTCTCAACTTCTATCAAAATATACTAAATATCAATTTTATCCCCATCAAACAATTTCTTAATATTTATGCCTTACTTTTATGCACCCCATTCAATTCATGTGTGTGTATGAAATCTGGGAAATTAAATTATTTACCTTTGGATGTGAATATATGATATATCAGTTACGGATTTGTTTATGGAAAATAATAAATTTTTCACTTGTGTTAAAAATTTAAGGGTAATTGGTAATAAACGTCCCTACCTTTCATGTTGATTGTGAAAAATGTCTCTATCTTTCATTTTTTGGCATTTTTGCTCTTATTTCAACGTTTGATTGGGCAAAACATCATTTTCCCTATTTTTGAACGTATAATGACCATTATACCCTTTTATTTAAAATAAAAAACCAAAGAAGAAAAGAAAAATAAAGCACAAATTACAATTATACTCTCAATCGTTTTGAAAAAATATAAATCAATCCAATAAATTATAAAAATTAAGAAAATCATCTCTTTCTTCTCTCCTCTCCCTCTTCCTCTCCTCCTCCTCCACCACCAAAACTCCACCCTCCGGTAAAAAGCTAAACCTGTAATGTGAAAACATCTCAACCAAAATCTAAGCCTGTAAAATCAAATCGGAATGACACTAAGAAGAGCGGTAGAAGTGTGCCCGAGAAGAATCAACGGACATTAACAAAAATGAGCAGAAAACCAAAAAGCGAAGTTCAGTCTACCACTGAAGACCCTATGTCCTCCGCAAAACCTAGTTCATACAGCAAAGTAGCCAAGAAGAGTAGTGTGGTTCCATTGGAATCAAAGCCTTTTCTTCGCAAAGGCTCTAGAACTGTATCCAGTTCTAATACAGCAGGGAAGACAAAAAATCTACTTAATCAAAGGAAATATTGTGGAACTCTGCAGATCTAATTGCAGATGGGGAAAAGGAAATGGGCTCCAACTCTTCTGATGCAGTCGTTCAGCAGCAAGAGATGGAAAGTGAACAATTAAGAGTTCTTGCAGATATGGATTCTAAATCCCTGGCAAGCATACTTAAGTGTGAAGACACAGAGAATGGAGTTTTGGTGGTGAAGGAGAAGGGAGAGGAGAGAAGAAATAGATTATTTTTTTAATTTTTTTAATTTGTTGGACTGGTTTATGTTTTTTCAAACCGTTTGGGGGTATGATGCAATTTGTGCTTTATTTTTTTTTCTTTTTTTTTTTGGGTTTTTTGTTTTAAATAAGAGGGTATAATGGTCATTTTACGTTCAAAAATATGGAAAATGATGTTTTGCGTAACTAAACATTGAAATAGGGACAAAAATATCAAAAAATGAAAGTTATGGGCATTTTCTACAATCAACGTAAAAGGTATGGACATTTTATGCCAATTACCCAAAATTTAATATTACAAACTATGCATTGGTTGCTCCCAATTAGGTCCTATTTGATTATACTTAAAATATGATTTTAATCTAAATCAAAGTCAAACTATTAATATTTATCATATCTTCATGGATCTTACGACTTTTTAACCACACATTTCATAAACTTTTATCTCAATTTACTAAAAAATGTAATTTAATTTCTTACCAAACACCCTCAGATTTTTTAAGGCAGGATATTATTAATAAAAAAATATTATCACTTTCATAACTAGTAATTTCCCTTATCTCTATGTTTTTCGATCGTCCAAAGGTATGAGTCTTCAATTGTGTATCTTAAAGATGGAAAAATATAAAGTCTTCAGAATTTAAAGAATGATTTTGAATGAGGTTTTCTTTTCTTGGTGTTTATTTTCAAAATTGAAAAGAGACTACTCTTCCAAATGGAAAGTGATTATTTGAAATGTCAAATTTTCAAAAGATGTGTGCAGCAAAGTAGGAAAAAATTATGAAAAAACTCGAAAAATATTGTAAATGATAAGTTTATTAGCTGTCCCGTCCCGTCCCGCCCCGACATGACCCCACCCCAAACGACGAGGCATGGGGCGGGGCGAAGAAGCCCAACTCCAAACCCGTCGCGTGAAGGAAAAAAAAGGAAAAAAAGATTAAAAATAATTTTATTTTTAGATAATTTACTTGTTAAAAATTCATTTTGAATTTTATTCTCTAATAATGACATAATTTGAAATTTTATTAGCAAGATAACTTAATTTTTCAAACTTTAGTGAAGATAATAATTTTTTATAAGCATAAATATTTTTCACTTGTGCTAAAATTAATTTGATGACATGTGAATTTTCTACGTACATATGCATCAAGACGAGGTTTCTTCTTCTTTTACTTCTTCTATACTTCTTTTGCTTGCATGCAAATCTATAATATTATTTCATTATATCCATAATAATTACTTTGTCATATTTGAATGTCTATATATGAAGTTAATTCACGTGCATATTTGAAAGATTTTTTACTTGCACATTTTTGGTAATTAATTTTTCTATCTAAATTCATATTATATCTATATGATAATTAAATATTTTTAAATGCTCTTATATAAATTTTAAATTAATAATTTATCGTATTATTGTTCTTGAAGTAGCACAACATTATAGTTAATATTCCAAAAGAATTTTATTTTTATTGCTCTTGAAGAATGTAATATTATTTTTCAATAGTATAAAAGAATACTGATTTACTGCTCTTGAGAAGTAATAATAAAATATAATGTATTCTCGAAATAGCACATATCCCGAATAATATATATTTCTTCCTGTTCCCGAAGATACACAAATTAAACAACTCAATATTGAATTGTAATTTTAAAAAAAAAACTAATTTTCTATATTATTAATATTTAAGAATGTGAATCTATTGCTCTTGGCATGAATTATAATTTTCAATATTCCGTAATAATATTGATATACTGCTATTGAAAAAAATAAATTAAAGAAAATGTGCTCTTGAAGTAACACATTTTTGAAAAATATATCATTTTGAATTCATATTTATTCTTAAAGCAAAATATATAATTAATGTCACGAGGACATTGATTGTTTGATTATTTGAATGACATATAATTATATAAACTTTAATTGTAATATTCAAAATTAAATCATTGAACTATATATTATATTGAATTAGAAATTCAATTTGATTTATTGTTTAGCATGACCAATTGAATGATCACTAAATTAATAATTATGTGAAATTAAAAATTTAAATAGATATTCAATGAATAATTAGATAATTTTTCAATTCAATCCTATGTGGTGCTTGTTCTCTTTCATGAATTTATTTTATTAATCATTACTAGTTAAGATTGGGACTAAAATTTCTATATAAATGAGGCTCCATCATCCTTCACGTTGATCATCTAAATATTATTTGTATATAATAGATTCGATACATATATTAGATGATTGCATGTTGTTCGTAACCTGAAGTTTGTGAAATTAATATTCAAAATTGTAAATTATGATCATAATTTTCAAATTATATAATCATGACCGTGTTTTATTAATATTAGTGGGCGTGAATCTCAACACTTTAATAAGTGTTAGCTAGGATGTCGGTAAATGGTTTAGCACTGTTGTTTGTTTGAACGCCTTATATTAATTTAATTGAGAACAAAGTATTTCCCATTTTTGTTTAATGAATTATATTATGCATCATGTCAACATCGTAGTACTTATCAAAGAGATAAACAATATATCACCCACTAATTTTAAATGCTCCAACATGAATTGATGTCCTATGATAACAATTTGTTAGTACCATATTAGATATATCTATGACATGCCTGAAATGTGACAGTGTTCAATTACAATACAAAAAAATTTCAAACGAAAATGGAGCAATTAGCAAAGATGGTCTCATTAAGGAGGTATGTGCTATTGATGATTATTTAGACATAACAAATTATAAATTAAAACATCATAAGAGGCTTGGTTACTTGAAATATCTCAACGAGTTATGTTATTATGAGAAAATAAATAGAATAAAAAAAAATTGTCAACAATAATATTTCACATTATATAATATCACATAGTGAGGAATCAAAATAAATGCGTTGAAATATATCGATTGAAGTAATAATTGACCAAATAAAACAGACGTGTATGGTATAATCACCTTAACAAATATTTGTGGAAAAAAGGCTATAAAAATTACGATGTCCGCCCATGTGTTTTTATAAATAAAATAAATATTGGATTTGCAATTGTGACAGTTTATGTTGATGATTTAAATTTAATTGGAACTCCCGAATAGCTCAACAAAACTGTCGATTATTTGAAAAATGAATTTGAAATGAAAATTTTGAAAAAATCAAATTTTGTCTTAG